CAACAAATTCTTAGGAGTGACTTTAGTCCTGTCCATAACTTGACTTCTCAATGAACTCTTAGGAGTGACAGGAGTCCCATCAGCAACTTGCTCTCTCAACAAATTCTTAGGAGTGACTTTAGTCCTGTCCATAACTTGACTTCTCAATGAACTCTTAGGAGCGACAGGAGTCCCATCAGCAAATTGCTCTCCCAACAAATTCTTAGGAGTGACTTTAGTCCTGTCCATAACTTGACTTCTCAATGAACTCTTAGGACTTGTGGCACATGTATCCCAATCTGACTCATACCACTTATTTGGTTTATGTCTTCGAGAAGAGGATCGTACACAAGACGATACTTTATGATCAGTCTTCAGAGACTTTGGTGTGTGAGGCTCATGAGCTCTGTATCGCTTGGATCTTGATGTACTGCCAGGTTCATAGTCACTGTCATTGTCAATGTCACTGTCACTGATAACGTGCCTTTTGCGTCTCCTGGGAGTGGTAACCTCAATCTAGAAAGACAAAATACAGTAAGAAATTAAATTTAAGACTCTCTGAAGGTTTGTAAAAATGGCTGATTCATTATATTGCAATTACCTTGGCTTCTGTCCACTGTCTGAGGAAGAGTTAATATACAACAAACGAAAAGCAATAATGCTCACCAGTATCATCACACTCAAACCTAAATATATATTTGAACTCTCTCACACCTCTGGGAGAATGAACTCAATTAGTCTCTTATGCAGCCATCGATGCCTCATACTACTTGATCTCTAAAAAAGTTCTAACCATGCAGAATGTATCACTACATGATGCCTGAGCTGAGGGCTTCTTCTCTCCCTACACTTGGCTGGACTTAGAATACGTAAGTTCACTTTCATTTCAGCAGACTTTCGTATGGCTCATCAATTTGTTTGACCGAGAAACACATTTCCTAATCGGATTTAAATTTTAAAAAAACTGTGTATATTACCTCCTGAGTAATATCACAATCATTATGACCGTTGGTTCTGCACAGTTTGAGTCGTAACGATGACCTACAACTTGCAGCTTCACCATCACTGTTATCTTCTGGGACAGAAACCCAATAATCCTCCTGGAACACAGAATTCAGCTCCGCATCAACTTTTTTCTCAAAGAGATTCAAAGGTTTAACTTTGGATTATATTTTCCTCCTTAACACATCTTTCCTAAACAACACTTCCAAATGTGTTATGCATACTGATCTGATTATGAGCAAAACGTCTACAAGCATATAGTAATATTCTGTGTTATGCATACTGATCTGATTATGATCAAAACCTCTGCAAGCATATAGTAATATCATTGCACAAATGGATCCAAGAGTTTAAAATGCAGAAACTTTGCATTCCTCAATGGAAATGATTTTCATCCATTCTTAGCATAGTTGATAACAGTAAAGTAAAGTAAAGTTTGTCCCGCTACGTGCCATACAGGCGCTTGGGGTGAGTGAGTGGAGGTATAGCTACTCTCTTTCTTGACCTCGGCACTAAATGGGGGTGAGTGGTCGGCATCACGCCCCGGCCGGCTTTACCCCCAGGAAAGGACCCCGGTACCCATTGTAGAGGAGGCTGGGTGGGCCCCAGAGCCGGTCTGGACGCAGAGGCCAGAGGAAAAATCCTCTGCCCCCGTCGGGGAATGAGTCCTACTGGAAAATATTACTGACACACTCCAGACAAACAATCGGCAAAAAGCCGTTATGATCGAAAAGCATAAGTAATTTTAAAAACAGTAACTTACATTTTTGTGTTGAAGATTCTGATGCCTATTCAAAGCCTCAGAATTCTTCATGGATTCCAAATAGTAATCAATCACATGTGACTTATGAATAGTTTTCAGATTATTAACAACATTACTTGCACAATCTGTTTCAGGAGACGAAAGTTCTGTCCTGTTCTTAACCCCCTCTGATCCTTTGGTCCTTTTATCTTTCAATGAAATACTTGCATCAGTAACATCATTCCTGTTACAGCTCTCTAAACTCAGTAACTTCCTTTCTGTCCCATCGTCTTCATAAGAAAGCTTCTTCTTGGCAGAAGTATGATGATTTTTTGGTCTATTTGTACATGACTGTGATTCTGACAATTTGTCTGCTTTGTTGCCAGAGTGCCCCTCATTCACAACCAACGTGCGACCTGGCGTAGAAACTGAAGCCGATGTACGAGACCTCACAGAGTTTTTATGAGGTGATGCCTTCAAACACTTCAATTGTGCACGGCCTTCATCGTTTCGTTGACGCTGCTCTGGATGTTGTGTCTTGTTTCTTTTGTCTTGTTTGTTGTTTCTTGCAGTCTTAGAAGGAGATGCTAATACAGATGATACATCAGAATTATCTTTCTCAAAATCTGATATCTCAGAAGTGGGTTTTATGGAATTAATATCTGCTTTACTTTCACATTTATGGATGTTACCTTCCCTTAACAGTCTACCAGAAAAAATGAAACTAGAAGATCCTGAACTTCGCTGGACCTGTTTGGTTTCAACATCTGTAGTACTAGCTTCAGATGTCTTTTTGACACGTAAAACAGCACTTTCAGATTCCTCGGCAATTCTACGACGAGAGCTTTTCAGCTGAGAATTCTGGTCACATTTAGATTTATCAGTTACTTCGTCAGGCATAAAAACTTCATCATTAAAATCCTGATCATCCAACAATTCAAAAATGTCTTTGTCCTTTAATTTCGTTTTATGAGTAAAATTCTTCGTTTGTAAAATCTCCTTGTCTTTTGACATTCTGAATTTTTCTGTTTTCCCTGGTTTTGCATCATTCATCCATTTCTTTTTACATCTCAATCCTGCGATGCTCTCTACCTCGTCATCACTGCCTGACGTCAGATCTCCAATTTCTTTCAAGCTTACGCTCTTGACAGATGGCCGTGTCCTTTCACGTCCGATGCTTTTCAAAGGCTTCTCGTCTGAATCCCACGATCCGATGGGTATCTTCACTACTGAAAGTTTATTTCTTTCATCCTTAATTCCACACCACATCAAGCTTGGCTCTGAAAATGAGAACATCACAACACATCGGAAAGACAAAATCTTACTACAGCAGACAATAAATCTTTACAACATTGTGTCATGCAATAATAATTACTTACATGACTTACTGACAGACACTAGTAGCTATACCATCAGACTTAGACACACTTTTACATAACCTACCTCCATGAAACAGAGTCTTTCTTGAGAAGCTAATAGTATGCTCAGCGAGTGAAGAAATTCCCTCCCTTTCATGAAATAGAAACTTTCATTGCAGTCGACACAAGAAAACATTACTAGTTCCCATAAAAGCTACTTCTGAAACCCGGTAACATGCCAGTCTTTTACACTGAGGTAGAGGATACCCCTTGTCAGCTGATCTCTTATTCAGTACATTCACAACTATCCTCCATATCCACACGCCAACCAATTCATTCGCAACCTGCGGATATGCCATTTCGTGGTAACAAGGGACCTAATTAACATGCCCGTAGAAATGAATACCTTCCTCAAGTACATAGTCTAATGAAACCGAAACTGATTAACACATTTTCAATTTGCGCTGAGATCATCAACAGGCGATCCAGTAGTGTCAGAGTTAACTCTTCCTCTCTGACTTTTGGTGATCAACACAATGAATTAAATACAAGTAAAAATAAGCTTCCATTTTATGAGCTTCACAGAAAATCCTAAATAAAGGAAGGCAACAATCATAAACATTCAACATTGTTACAATTCCAGAAAGTACTTATTTTAATTCTTGTGTCTACACTACAACGCCGAAGCTGTTAACCTCACAGCAGAAGATGAACATTCAACATGCGATTAAAGTCCATAGAATTTGAAATAAATAACTATTTCCAGATACCTGCCAATGGTATGTCAGGTGAACTTGGTCGAACTCTATCTTCAATAAATTCCGGTCCGTCTACATCCAAATTTAACTTTTTGACACGAACATAACATAAATGTCCAAGCATAGCTTCACTTGCTTTTGTTTTAACATGTTTCATTTGTCCAGTTTCCATTTCTAGATCGACAGCATCTTTTTTAAGACTCCTATAGATGTTAATTCTCTTCGCAGGTGACGGATTTAATTCAGACTTCTGAATGTTTCCATTACATTTCTTTCTTTGTTTTTCTCTATCTGCTTCCATGACATTATCTTCTGTGAAATTAGATCCGTTCACTTCAATTCCATCAGAATCCAGGTATGGCCATATCTTCGCCGACCGGCTCGAACCCACAAGCTTGTAGCGACAAACAAACACTGGAACACGTACATGTCCCTCAACCTTCTTAACTTCAATAACTGGATCATCATCCACCTTAGCTCGTACTACCTAGAACAGTCACGGGAACACCAGAATAAAAGATATATATAAAGTGTAAATAAAAAAATTGTAAAAAATCTATAATCTACATGAAATTATTAAAAAAACAACTGAATTAAAGGGTCAGCTGGTGGTCTTGAGTTTCAACACTACTTTCATTCACAGGGTTCTGGGTTTGATATCAAGTCAGAACTGCGTGTGAATTTTTCTGCTCCGACAAAGATAAACCTTCAGAAATGTTAATGCCAACCTCCACCCCAACACGGTTTGGAAGCCATTTTAGGCTATAGGCCCTTTATGCTGGCTATCAGTCTCAAAATACAGAACAGAATCTGCGCTACGGGTGCTCCTACCTCAGAAGCACATTCTACGCCACTGCTGAGTTAAGCGGAGGCCAGATAGATGGCGGGCACACACTGAACCTTTCTATCGGTACTACTTAGCAAGGTAAGAGGAGCAGTTACATGCCAACATGAAACTCCACGGAATGCTTCAACTTTTAATCAAGGTCTTACATTCAACAGAAATTTTAATACCTCTGAAATGAAACCACCTACCCTGGTACACCTTTTAGCCACAACTTACCACACAGTTGCTGAAAAATGTTTCGATGCTGACATCATTATCAAATGGCCTCTCATCTAGTATAATTTCCACCTTACTGTCCAACTTCAGAGATTTTATACTTCTTTTAGGCACATCTTGTGGTCGAGAGTACCATCTGACTATGGCTCGATATGGGTCTTCATTGTCTGCTAAAATAATACATACACGACACGGTATATTAAATTTTAAAAATTGCCACCACAATTCTGTGCTATATTTCTATTGCTGCATATAAAGTGTTTGATAAAAAATGTATGTCTGTCTGTCTTTGTGTAAGTTTTTGATAACTTCAAACTTCCAGAGGCATAATGCCTGGAACTCTGATGTAATTAGGGCTTTCAAAAGCTCACAAAGGATAAAAGAAATTGATTTATAAGACAGTAAAAGCAGTTGAATGTCTACACACAACATGTAATAGTTTTTTGAGGGTCCTTTCACACATCTAACAACTTTTGATAACATTATAGTCAACACAGTTGAAGTGTTTCAAGCACAGAGATTACTCTTAAAGGCACTTTGAGTTCATAAGTTTTATATATTCTAATGTATAGCTGCTGCTGGACTGGTCTATAAATTCCTTGGTAAGATTTCAGGTTCTCATGGTAACAAGTACAGAGACAGCTCTCTTCTGGTATGTTGTGTCACGTAGTCTACTGCCTCCATTTTATCAGGGCCCCAATGATGGAGGCAGTAAACACCTCGGAAGTTGTAACCGACTACATAATCTAACACCCCAGTAGACAGCCATCTTCAAGAAATTCCTTGTTTTCATGAATCCAGAAGTTTATCGCTGTATTCATAAAAACCCATAACTGAACTCTATCCTTAGACAGTTAGAACCAGTCCACAGAAATCAAAACAAATATATAAGCACAAATATTAAAATAAACAATGTACCCTATACAAAAATCAAGTTTACCTGTTTCATACAGTTGAATGATCTCAGCTACATCACACCCCTCCGGTGTGTCTGGATGAACAGAATCTGCATTTGACACCAAAACAAACCCACCCACCTTGCCTTGAATTGACCCATATGTGAATGCACTGGTAGAAATAAAACAAATATAAGAAGCACTTGTCATAGACAGAACATATTACAAGGTTCCAAAGGAATAAGTTCCATGAATATCAAGAAATGTAAAACAGAACTCTGTATTAGCAACACAAATATTATCTCTTTTAAAATGCAAATTAAACAAGGACTTCTGGGGGAAAAAACTCATTGAACAGACATCCAGTCCTATAAAACTTTTGTTAATGTGATATTTACATATAACCATGAAAAATTAACTATAACTCTTAAAGTAAAAAAGTATGAATATTATTTTCATACAAAAGTATTGCAAAAAAATAGCTGAAATCAGTGAGTAGAACATGTGCTGTAATAACAATTTAATAAATCAACATAAGTTTACCAATGCTATAATTCAAATTCGGTAATTTCAAATTATGATCACAGCAAGGGCATGTATCATCAGTAGAACATTTCGCAAATTCATACATTTTATATAATGTTCCATGAAAGAGTCCTTGACAAGCTCACAATCTTGTCAAGACATTCACCGCCTAAATCACCTATCATTCATAACCCACCACCAATAGCTATCTGAAATCAAATAAAACCAATCCATAACCAATCAATTTTCCAACGAGCTACTATCTAGGCCTAGGTCTTCTGAATACATCTTTCCTTCATGCTAACCAAACAAACTTCTATATATCTCCCCTATACGTGCCTCTACCAATTTCATGATTTCAGCCTTGTTGATTTAATTATCCTAATATTAGGTGAAGTGTAACAATTATGAATCTCCTCATTATGCAACTTTGTCCAGTGAATAATAAACGTTAATACAACTATCCGCACTTGCCTGTAGAATGTTTTCTCCCTGTACGAATCATGGACAAATGAGATCGCTTCGCCTACCCATTTCGGGAGATTTCTTGTGAATTTCATTACAACAGATATTATTGACTCTTCTCAGACATAACACGATAAAACAAACGACCACTTGCAATATCACAAGCCTTTCCACATATATTGTGTTGTACAACACCACATGAAGTTTTCGCGCCTTGCACTACGATGCTCAGGATCGCCAATCATCATTGTCTTAAAACAAAATTTATTTCGTAAGATTTGAAATTCTCATTGCGGAAAAGATGTCGATGTTCTTATTTTGTACGGACTTGTGGGTCGCGGGTTAGCTCAGTCAGTATAATGACTAAGCTATGGAATGGACGACCGAGGTCCGATCCCCGACGCGGGCAGAGGATTTTTCCTCTAGCGTCTTATCCATTGGGTACCGTGGTCCTTCCCCGAGGGTAAAGCGTAGCGGGGACGTGATGCTAACCACCCCCCACAAGCGCCTTCACACAGTGGAGCAGTTTTACTCTTTTTTTGTGGCTGGATATAAACGTTTCGGAAGAACATACTTCCTCCATTTTCAGACCTCAAAATGGAGGCAGTTTTCTCTTCCTTAACGTCTCCAGACCTGATGATGAAGGCAGAATGTAACGCTTTGTTTAATCTGAACCTATTCAAGGATGTGATACTGGGCAAAAAATAAACCAAACTACCTTACCTTCATGACCACTTAATGTGTTGGGTCAGAAATGAAGCCCCTAAGTAATTGCTGCAGACACTTTAACATTTCAAATATGAAAGACATTTTGAAGGAACAGTAGCAGACTAGAGACTCAGAATGTGAAACAAGAATGGAGATGAATACTGGAAGAATGTTTCAAAGGATTACCACACTGAATTAAAGTTTTAAGCTAACACAGGTTTTATAGTTGTAATGAAATACAAAGTGATTTGCAAACGAATACTCTGTCAAATACAGTTTTATCAATTATCAAAAGATATCTTTATTTATAAAGTTTGTTGTATTTTCTATTTTAGCAAACTACAGTATAATTCATTTATACATTGTTTTTCTTTCTCACAGCAGTCATTAGTCTTTAAAACAGTTGCACAAACACAGAATGCTTAATGTTAAACTGAAAAGAACTTAAACAGCAGTCAGATTCAATCACTAATTACAATTTGCATCACATATTCATCAAGTTCTTATAAATATGGTTCAGCTACCTTCAACATAATTATTACAATACTTCAGCTTCCTTTTAATATAAAGATATGTTTCAGTTTAATGGTGACTTCATGCTGTAAAAGTTGAATTGTGATTCCTTTGCCTGTCTATTTATTAAGTTCTGAAATGTATTCATTTGCTTTCCATGTACCAATTTATATAAAAAAAGAGTCCTGTAAATACTCTTTTGTATACATTCTGAAATGGAGACAAGTGATTAAATGTTTTTAAGTTTATGTTACTGGAAATACATGAAATCTAAACAAGTTTAGCCCAAGCAAAACTAATATTCCTGTCACTGCTAAGAGACTGGACTGGCTAGACTGTATTCTAGTCTTGCCTTGGATGAAGTAGAAGGATTTTGGCAATTTCCAGTAACATAAAAATATTATATAATGACATGATTACTTCAACAATCCAACTGATTAGTATAACAGTCTTTAAAACAAAAGACAAGATCAGGTCAAAATACAAGATGATCAAGGCACCTGTATCAATTGAACCACTAAATAAAAACTGTATGCAGACAAAACTCATATTACACCAACTGCTAATTTTCTACTACAATGAATGGTTTACAAATTATTGTACTGTACAATATGGTCCCTGAAATATTCCGTAAACTCGGCCTTATCTTTAACGAGCAGGTGGAAATGTTCTTGTATAGCTAAATTTATATTCAGTCAGAGAAAACCAAGAGGTAGCAAAAAAATCTAAAAACATTTGTCACCAATTAAATATGATATATATCCACATATCCATGAAATGTGCAAAATACAATAAAATCGGTACATAGAGAAATTGGCTTTAGACATATTTCTTAATCCTCTGTTTTAATGAAAGGAAACAGCATTATTCACTATATGTCTAATTCAGATTTCACAATTATTCTATTTCATATGCACAAACAGAAGACGTAATCAGATAACTGTTACTTATTGCAGTGTGTTTGTAAATTCACATAAGTCTGGTAAATAATAACTTAGCATATACTGATGTGTATCTGGTTGTACAAGTAAAATAAGGGTGGGGAGGAGGGAGGGAGAGTGAGAATTAGTTCAGTCCAAACCACACACAATAAATTTACTTGTGCATCTTTTACACACTTCTTGGAATGCAGTTGCAAGATGAGAAAACACTGCACAAACATACAGCAGTTGCAAGATGAGAAAACACTGCACACTGCACAAACATACATCACAAATGAGAGTAAAATTATACATGTACAGTCTTGTTTTATATATTTCATATACATATCCCCTCCTTTCCATATCTGGTTAAACCATAAGCATATAGTCAGGTCATAGTCAGATAAAATAAGGGGCCTAATGTATTTGTGAATCGAGTAAAACTATTAGAATACAAATTTCAGTCATGTGTATACACAAACATAGATTATCCTAAAAATGGTGTATTAAAACCACACAAATTACCTTCCTTGCATCAATTTCACTCGTAAATACAATCTATATTTAAAACGTACGTATCTCAGACCTATGGTAATATTTTGTGTATGTACAAATATACAGACTTGAACTCCAGTTTAAGCATAACTGTTCAAAATACAAAGAAAAGGCATTCTGTCTGGGTTCAACAAAGTTGTCGAGAGTTCATATCCTACAAATTTTCTGACAAGAGAGCATTAGGAATAGCATATTTTTAAAAACATGTCTATATCATGAAAATATGTTAGTGATATCTTACATCAACTATTTATATGCTACATAATTCCTACTAAGAATTCCAGAGAGGTAGAAAGTATGTATAAAACATCCATTTCCCTGAATTAATTTCCTTTATATACACACAACTATTACAGTAGAGGGAAATAGGCCAACTTACAACTCATTTACATCTAATCGTGATTTATGTCAACTACAGAGCATTGCAGTGTGACAGGTCAAAGTTTACCCTAATATATTCCCAAAATTAATGTTTGTATTTACCACACAAAAATATTGCCATATGTGAGTGATAATTTGTTCCAGCATTGAAGCAGAATAAAAAGGAGCAAACTGTTAAATAAATACAGAGGAAATTAACACAGAAAAATATTAGTGGGAGACAAAAAACTTGAGTTCTGTTCACCTCAGATAAATAAGTTCCCACTGGATTTTTTTAAGTGCACCCAATTTCAGGGAAGTCTGTAGTTCAGCCAGCACAGTCCCATTCATCCCGCAGTATCCGAGTTCCAAGTAAACAATTACACCTACATGCCTCCACAAAGTTGCACACAGGCTGGTAACGTTAATATTATCGATGTCGGTCTTATGGGTTTTAACGTCATGTGGACTTGTAGGCAAAACCAACAGCTTCAACCCTGAAAATGGAAACAGTATCTACCTACAAGTCCACACAGTGGGAGTTACAACCCAGAAGACATCATCATCTTCACCACTGTACGAACCTCAAATCACAATTTATTATTGGTTGTGGAAATATTAATCTCCTTATCAAATATTACTGAATATACAAATGCACTCAATAGTGACACAAAAAATAGAAAACACCAATTGGAAACAAATGAACACGTAGCAATTAACTCGGTGTTTAGTTGCGGCCTTTGATGTATTATAATCATCATGCATTCTAACAGTAGAAGCATGAATCATTCCAACAAGCATGAAGATTTCCCATGTTAAATGTATATTTTAAAATGTTTATAAATATGCAAAGTATAAACAAAACGAATAAGAATAATGCAGTTCTACGTTATATTGTTATACAGTCCCTACTCTACAAGTGTTTGGGTGCTTCCGCTGTATCCAATCCACCCTCCCTCTTTATGCCGTTTACTTAATTTCTCAAACACTGTGGGATGAACTGTAATTTGATTTAGCAATTTAATAATACAGAAGTCAATAAGACCTGGATTCAGCACAACAAAGCTCGAGAGCTCATGTAATGATTGGGAAACATGACACAGCAAACAGCAGGACTCTTAATGTGCTGAATCTAGGGCCGGTAACCTCCCGCACTTCGCAATCACCTGTCAGATGATCTTCAACAAGAATGAGTATATACTCCTTGAAACATGTAGAATGAATTTAAATACATTTGGATGCCAGTATTTTAAATGTTTATACATAGGACATTTTATATTGTTATTCCACATGAAAGTTTTCATGTTAACACCCATGCCTTAGCAATTATTTCTTATGCCTAATGGCATTGTTGTACTCAGAGAAACCACTTCGCATTTTGAACCCTATCTGACACACTACGTACCACAGAAATGGCATTACCATCTTGACCAAATTTCATAAGAATCTGTTACACAAAAAAAAGCTTTAAAGTGCTGCCATTAGTGGTCAAGATGCAATCTTTCTGGAGAATTTTGAAGTCACGATTTCCCCTCCAGTCACTGGAAAATTTAACTGGAGTTTAAAAGAAACACAAGCTAAAGAACTCAAAGTTGTCAAAATACTGGGTAGCCTAAGACTTCAAGTATAAATAACAAACAGGACACGAACCTGATGAAAGTTACACTGCTTTCAACTATTGTCTGACTATGACCCAGATTATGGTTTACTTATGTACTTCCTCCTCATTTGCCTTTGAATATCACACATCTGCTGTCACTGGAAAGAAAATACATAACTACACATTACAATCTGAGAGTTGAAATATCAGGACAGCAGACTTCAACCTTCCTAACAAATAAATGACATGTTAAATCTCAGGGACCAGCTAATGGTTCAGAGTAATATTTGTCACACACAACATGCCAATTACAGAGGAAGTAAACGTATAATTAACTCAAGACTGCCCCTGTGTTCAGAAGTACTGTACATGTACACGTTAGAAAACTCTTCATAAATGACATTTTTTCAAGAAATGTTCGTCATAAGTACTGATTTGCCAAGGCTAAAATGCCGAGATAAACTCTAAACAGACACAAAAAAACTGTAGAGTACATTTTGTAAGATCTGTGAAGACATCAGTATTTGTAATTTGAGAGACCCCGAACACGTACTTTTGAAATGGAAAAGCACCAATTCAATCTGTCTCAGGTTTACCAGACTGAGGTAAGTTTTAGCAAATATGGTTGATACCTACTCTTCCATTTCAAGTAATAATCATTACAGAAATCCTATTTACAGATCATGTAATACTTATGCAAAAATTTGTAAAAATGAGAACTATACAACACACAATTACTTGCTTCACTTTCATAAAAGCAATCATGCAGATGAAAAATATATGTATGCTGCGTGCAGACTGCTTCATAAAATCACTCAGCAACAAATCATAACATTTTGAAAAAGAATACCATACAACTCATATACAGTAAAAAACACTTATTTGTACACTTCTCACTTTCATGGCGAGAACACCTCAGATTTTATTTTTATAAGACTAGGATTTTGGCAAAGATCATTACAGCTAATTTCTATCAGTCTTTGCCATGCTATTCTTTTTACGACATTACTACCTCTGATTTCATTATTGAGATCTTGCAGTAACACAGTATATGCCAGACTCGAAAGACAAACAAAAATCATCATATCTCTCTCACTGACGGCAGTTATTACAAATCTTTGAACCATGGACAGAGAATCCTGAACTTTTTTCAAACACTAACATGTTAATTAAACATCACCTTTATTCAGAATCATACTCCACTGCCTAAAAATTACTCAAAATGAAGCACACGCACAAAAATCCAGGCCTAACCCATTTCAAATTTATCTCAACATTACCGTGAATGTCACATCAAACCCAGAAGAACGTAAAAAAAAGAACACTTCTTTATACAGCTTTTATAGCAATGGAAACATCATCTCTCGTGTGCATAAATAAGGCAAAACATGTCAAACTTGTGTTCAGGTCTCGGCTTTGTAGTCTTGTGAGCTGGGAAAATGTACAGAGAAGACATGACATTGGTCAACAGTTTATCACTTATACCCAAAGCCATCACACTGAAAAGATGTTAGCAAAGTCAAGTCCTGAACAGTACCATACGCCTCTCCTACCCTGGTTATGTATACAAATTAACGGCACAGAAGAGATGTTTTACACAATGCAGACACAGGAAAATTTTCCAAAAAAGCCAATATTTATGGACAATTCTTTAAAATAATAGTTGCCTTGAAAACTTCAGTATGAAGATAATCCTATATCGGACTTCTACTCCATTCTGTAGGGAATCCCTACAGAACACAGCAGTATATTTTATTTGAAAATGGGAGTAGACATGTTAAATGGTATTTGAAAACAGTGATACAAGCAGCTGCAGAACTTTGAATGGAAGATAAATATTTAAACTCTATACAGGAGCTGTCACAAGATTCACTTGTTGGAGGGAAGACGGTTAACCAAATTAAGTTCTTACAGATCCAAATGACACTAAAATACAATCTGTAACCTATCTTCTGGCTAATAAATTAGCTATGTTTAATGTAAGATTTGAGGTTTTCACAACGGCGAGTAAGAAGATTTCTGTCTTCTGGGTCGTTGCGCTGTGTAGTCCGGTCGATGTTAACCAACGTTTCAGAGGTCATACTGCCTCCGTCATCAAGGCGATGAATGTTTAAATCATACTTCACCTTACTGAGATAATGATGAATACTAAGGATCATGAAGGAAGGATGCAGAAGATTAGGGCACTATCCTAGCATGTCTAAAGGAACTAACCAAAACAAGTTATGCAAAATTTTGAAGAGGAAACCAATTAAAGATCAAAGTACAGATGACAGAATAACGAGAGACTTATTCAAAATTTTTTACTTCCAAACATGTTCTGAAGAATGAAACAATCTTCCAAATGCAAGTACTGGCTCATGTATTTGTTAAACCCTTTTTACAGTTCTGTTCTCTGTCTCAGAGATCAAAGAACATGATAGCCCTACAAGGATGTACACGTTTACTGTCCAGGAACACGTTTTTGTGAAGACAAGCTGAGTCTTCGGCCACAAACTATCAGCACAGGCATACGCAACTGAAGATAAAAATATCCAATGCAAAACAAATGTTACACATCAGAGCATATATTCCTAATTTTGTACACATACAAAAGCAAAGTGACAATCTGTTGATTGATTCACTGAATTTCTCAGGTGTCCTTTGAACAGTAAATACAAACATGTCTGATATTTACATGACATTTGTAGCTGTTCTTTCCAAAAAAAATAAAAAAATTCTCTGTAAAAATATTCATGGAAAATTTTAAATAATACTTCAGTGGGTTTATTAACAGCTCAGAGTGATGAACTGCCCTGATGATGGAGGCAGCAAACACATTTGAAATGTCAGTACACTTCTACCAGACTACAAGGTGAAATAACATATAAAACTGAACTCTAAAATATATAAATTCACGCAAATCAGAAAAAATTATATGCAGTGCAACCCATTTGTATCATCATATGCTGATAAAACATCTCCCACAAAATCATGTTTTTTCTGGGTCCTTATTTAAGTAGACAGAACTGCATTCTAAAATGCAATGACACCAGTATAATAAAATTTACACGTAATGAGAATAGCCACAAAGCAAATATTTAACTACCGCAACTATGCAGTCATCCAAGAATTGATAGGAGCCACACAATCAATTGATGCCTCCACAAGTAGCTTAGGCCAACATCATATAGGTGTTATGGTAAAAGGCTTGCCAACTGCATGTCACCAAAACATTTTATCATGTGTGAATTATGTTTGCGCTGCCTGGTCATAATTCACATTCACATTCAGTTCAGTGCAACATAGTGCTATATATCACTGACAGTAGTCTAAATGTTCCCAAAATGGCACAGATACAATACAGATTAGTAACTGTGCAGTACACAGTCTGTGATCAGTGAGATGAAACACTGCATCAAACAACTGTAACTTTAATAATGTGTACATTTACACTACACATCACATTTCAGAATATCCAACAGATAATTAGCAGAAATCCAATAATTTAAATAATTCAATCTTATCTGAAAACTGACATTGTCCACAAAGCAATCTAAATCCCTATACCTGCTTCCACTGCAATCAGAACTTCAGAATTGACTCCCCACACAAAAAAAGCAATATTTTCATAGTGTGCCGAACATAAATAAACAGCATAACATTACAGTGAAATCCCCTTTCATAGTTTTCAAGGACCAATAAATGTGAACATTACAGTGAGGAAAATCTTAAATGGCAGAAATGTAACATTGAGATTACTAACTTGTGATAAATAAAATAAAAATGTTAAATGAAGAAAAACCTTAAAAAAGAAATAATAATAATCCGTGGCGTAACAGCCCTCCGAGAGCCAAAGCCAACTAGCTGGCCTCACGTTCACATGCCTAAGCAGAGGTGAACGATCATCCAACCAGATATAGGGTGGCGTGTGGTCAGCATGACGAACACCCAGCCATTGCTACTTTTCATGACTGGATTATACTACCCATTGTAGCTCCCCAATTACCGCACGATGCTGGGTTGGCACCGGTCCCATACACCGGTCGAAAATCTCACGAGAAATTCCTTTCCCCGAGACTCGAACCAGCGTGCATTCCGCATCACCAGTCCAAAGCATGATGCCTCAGACGGTGAAGCTACGGCGCGGGACAAATAAGAAATATTAAATGGGAATTTCACTGTAACTTCATACAAATCATTCCTATTTTTCATTAAGTCATATAACGTTTGTGTCAACTACAAATTTACATATTTGCAACTGAACACATAAATCTGTTGCACCACAGCCAAGATAAATGGTCTTTGCATTTTGAGTAATGTATGGCATGTTTAGGAGTTCATACATGAATACTGTTCTTGTTCTCAACCAGTAACTGTCCATTTATACTGACACAGTATTTGAGTCCTTGCCTGCACCACATTTATTATTATAAAATGACTGCGCGCAGAGCATCGTACTGTGGGGGGTGGCGAAACAGCACCAAGTCTTACTTAGGTACTAAGTACTCCTTCACAAGTAACTGTTGGTCCCACCAGCAAAAATATACTTGTCTGTACTATGATACAAGGCACTTTAAAACAATTTTCCCACAATACTAGTACAATGTGCAAAGTAACATAATGACGTTTGTTTTTAAAACTGACGTAAGTATATAAGCACAGTCACAAAACCATATGCTTTTCAGAACACAACCAGACAAACTTAAAATTATTGTCCACTTGCCTCCATTTGTCAATGCAGTAAACTGCTTTACAACTTAAAAAAACTAATTAAAATCAAATGTGTCACATTTACCAACTAACATTTACGTTAATTCAACAGAAATCACGTCCATGTCTTTGGCTCAAAGATACAAAAAGAGTGAGATTCTGAATACTTAAATGGCAAGAAAAAACATCATTGGGGGGAGGGGCAGTACGTTACTCTTTACTGCATTGAGCCTTATCCGTAACGGAGCACACGATGATGTATTCAAGACTTTCGAGCAAACGAGCAATATTCTGCATGGAACTACATTAAACACATTCACTGCCACTTGATGCACGTGTCCCATGGCTCTTGCCCCTAACACAGACACAACAATCCTGAACTACGGAGCAAGTTTTAGACTAATGAAGAGAGGGTAATGCTTACTCAAACTAGATTCTGCAAAATCCTAAGGAATGATCTTGGACCTTTTGCCACCTTGTCAGGTTATTTGCCAGCCGCAGTAGCCACGCGGTCTGAGGCATGATCCTAGTGTGCCTGACTGCTGCGACCGTGGGTTCAAGTCCCACTCAAGGCACGGATGTTTGTATAGGTAGAGGCCTTGCGTTGGGCTGATCACTCACCAAGGAGTCCTACCATTATCCAAACAGATCAATTAAATGAATAAATAAACCTTGACATCCACCGGTAAAAGAGGATATATAGAAAGAAGAAGTCAGGTTATTTGTATATTTTTAGGAAGAATTTTTCCAAGTCTTCTTATGCACAAATTTTGTCTGATGCAAAACTTAGTTTCTAAAACTTTAAACTTTTCCATATTAGTCTTCTCACTACAATATGCCCCCTCCCCAAACAAAAAAAAAAGAAACCTATAACACTTA